CAAGGCCTATACGGGAAACATGCTTACCATTAACATGATGACGTACTCCTTCTACTTTTGATTTATTTGTTATCTTTCTCAGTGTAAGTTGAACATTTATGTTCCTCTTCAATTTCTTCCAAAGGTTCTGTTTAATTTTGCTTTTAGAATAAATTGTTAGACTTTGTTTTCAAATAAATTTTTATGAAAAATATTCTCATAGCTATTATCTCTGATCCTGAAAAAAAATAAAATTTGTAAAACAAAAAAATAACATCTATGACTCAAGAATTTTAAAATAATTTACAAATGTCCATCATTTAACCCTAATGCCATCACATTGATATCATAATAGACCATTCTCATAAACAAAACACAATAAAAATATTACATTACAAACCAAGAAATAATTTAATTTTTTTAAATAATACAAATATCCGATAACCCGCGCGCAGCGCGGACGGACCACTAGTATTAAAATAAAAACCACAATTCATGTGTGATATTTAAAAAAAATGGACCATCACTAGAAATCAGTTATCATTCATTTATTCCTAATAATCTGACTTAATAATATTTCATTCCTAATATAACAATAGACTCCTATAAAACCAGATTGGTTAACAAACACATATTTGATTCCTTAATAAATTATACATAATGGTAATCTAAAACCATCGTATAGTTCAATATACTAAAGCGAATTAATTAATTTTTTTTTTTTTTTTTTTTGAATGAATGTAAAATTTATTCAATCAAACCATGTTTACATCAAGTGCTACAATATTGCAAAATGCTACAAGAAAAGAAAAAACAAGACCTTAAAGAAACCCGGAGCTCCAAAGATAAAAAGGAACCAAAAACATCAAAGAAACAATAACCTTATACCTCCCCTCAAGCTAGACCATGTGGAACAAGTCTAGCTTGGAGAGATTATGAACACTTTCCTCATTAAAACCTAATCAAATAAAACCCAAATGGGACAAAAATTTGATTAGGAAAAAGAGTAAAAGTTTCATAATCAGGGAGATATAAAAACAGACACGCAGACAAACCGAAGCACAATCACAACTCCTCCAGACCCATCCAATCAGATTCTAGTAGAGAACCAAGTCAAAAGACTACCTTCCAAATATTTCTTACCCGTTCCTTTTACCATAAGAAACTTTAAACGTACCGTCTTATCCACCATTTTTGAGAGGATATTTGCATCCAAAGGCTTCTCACCATGTTTCCTAGCATTTCGCTCTCTCCAACTACTATGAACCAGAACTTGAAAAACATAACGAATGATGAAAGTCTCAGTAGGACAGCTTCTTCCCTGAGAAATAATACCAATAATCTCATCCCAGTTTGTAGTAAACTCATCTTTAAGAACACCCTGAACCATATCCTTCCAAACTTTACCAGAGTATTGGCACCTAAAGAATAAATGCGCACAGGTCTCTTCCTCCGCATTACAAAGCACACAAACTCCATCAGCATTAGCAGCACTATTCCACTGATTAACTCTATCCATGGTCTGCAACCTGTTTCGAATTGCAATCCAAGCAAAGAAAGTATACTTAGGAGTAGAATGAGGAAACCAGATACCTTTACTCCATCTGCACTCCGGATGGGACTGTCTGATGTTGTGCCAAGTATTCTTAGTTGAAAAGTGAGCCAAGTAGTTATTTTCTGAAGTTTTCCATAGAGGAATATCGTCCTCATGACTTGCTTTCCGCTTAATCTTTTCAATCTCAGCTTCAACATCATTAAGAAAGGAGTTCCTATGTCTTCTTTTACGATGATGATTCAGAACATCATTCATAGACTCATTCTCCCTAATGCCCATCTCAATATTACCGCCATTACTTAGATAATTCATCAAACAGCCCAAACCAGACCAGTGATCAAACCAAAAGGAAGTTTGCTTACCATTATTAACCTCCATTTTATGAAAACTCCTAGCCAAATCCCTCAAATGCAACAGCTTTTTCCAGATCCAAGATCCAGACACAGAGCTAATTCTTATAGACCAGAAGGACCCCTTCCTTATTAGATAACAATGAACCCATTTAACCCACAAAGAAGAGCTGTTAGAGAAAAGCCTCCATATGAGTTTAAGACATAAGACTTTATTAACTTCCTTTAGCGGACGGAGACCTAAACCACCTTCTCTTTTAGGCAAACAAATATCTTTCCAACTGACTTTAGCTTTACTAGTTTTCAACTCCGGGCCAGACCACTGAAAAGCAGAACATAAACTTTCAATCTCTTTAAGACAGCTACTGGGTAGACTGAACGCTGAAAGCCAAAAATTAGCTAAACTGGTGATTACTGAACTGATTAACTGAAGTCTTCCCCCATGAGAAAGGAATCTGCCCGTCCAAGATTTCATTCGTTTTCTTATTTTATCAACAAGAGGCATATAATCTAAGACAGTCATTTTCTTAGTGAGCAAAGGAAGACCAAGGTATCTTACCGGTAACTTACCCGGCGCAAAAGGAAAACTGGAAATGATATCATGCTCTTGACTGACTGAAATCCCAGCAGTATACAAAGTAGACTTTTCAAGACTGATCTTAAGGCCAGAAATCTCTTCGAACTCCTTAAAAATTTTCAGAACACCTTCAATGGACCTTTTAGAACTATCAGTGAATACTAATAAATCATCAGCAAAACATAGATGTGTAAGAAGGATGTTCCTGCACCTCGGATGATATCCAATCATGTTTCCTGCAGCAGCTTTATCCAACATATGAGAAAGCACATTGATGCATATGACAAATAAGTAGGGAGAGAGCGCACATCCTTGTCTCAGGCCCCTCTTACTTTGGAAAA